CTCTCTCTCTCTCTCTCTCTCTCTCTCTCTCTCTCTCTCTCTCTCTCTCTCTCTCTCAATTTATCATCATCATTTCTCCCCACTCCTCCAGCAATCTGCGAGGCACAGGGCCTCGATATGCCCTACAGGGCCTATTTTTCACACAGTCGGCCGCCCTAAGTGAAGGCAAGCACGACCGAGGCTTACAGGCCATTTTGGGGTCACCACGCAACTGTGGAAATTCAGGCAGTTGCGCAGCGCCAGTTGGTTTGAAGCGCCCAGGCCCAGGCTGCCTTTCATCGCATGTAACTGAGGCAGGCCCTGGGCCGGATACACAAAGAGGACCGGACAAAGGCTGAGGGCAGTTGGGTGCTGGTAACCACCACAGGCCCTGGGCCTGTTTACTTCGAACTGAGGCTCAGCCTCGTGGGGCCTACCGGAAGCTTCTGGGCCAGGGCCCAGTACCGCACTACCGCACGCAGCAGCAGGCCACTTCGATATAGAGAAGGGCCTGCCTACGCATTGGACATTCGGGCACTGGCTGCATGCTGCGCAAGCGCTGCTGCGCTAACGCTGGCCAGGCTCACGCCCTCACGGGCGAGCTGGAAGGAGCAGGCAGCCATAGCCGAGCTGCGCTGCTGTATGCTGGATGCATGGTGGTCCTTGGGTGCAAGTGGCATCTGTGAGTTGGGGAACGAGGTTGTGAGTGATACAAGAGACATACCTGGTGCTTGAGGCGTGCGGCATTGGCCGAAATCTGCTCGTACTTGGGAAGCTGTTGACGTCATCAGCGGCATTCTAGTCTAGGCTAGATAGGATCTGCCATTCGTAGTCTGGGCGCTGAGCGCCAGATAGGATATCAACATTGGTTCTTCGTTGATGAGGATGAGTCTATTCCAGCATTGTCAATTATAAACTTTTGGTGTGCTCTTATTTGGTGAAATTCGTGATGCAATTCTGCTATTGGTTCGAGGTCACGACTATCTGGTGTCATGTGTATGATGCTGTTTGATTTCTGAAGTTCGCTATTGCTCATCTTCCTTGCAATTTAGTATCAGAGTTGTGGTTCGGTGAGCTAATCTGGCGCTTGTCTTCTGCCTAATGCGGTACATGCACGCGGTGTGTGCGGTGAGCGACCGTGCCGTGGGATGTGTGTAGTGAGGAGGGCGAAGATAAGCAGGCGACCCAGGTGGAAAGGGGATCACCAGGAAGGCTATGCGGTGATTATTGGGTGTTCACAGTGTGATGAGAACTATCCGATGTGTGATTGATGTTGAGGTGGAACGGTGGTGCAATGCTGGTTGTGCCGAAGCAGCGATTGGTCATCCCAATCAACATCGAGTCATCTGGTGAGAATATCTGTGGTTGGGGGCAGCTATTTTGAGGTACGCTGCACCTAAAAACCTTATCTACCCTCTTCGGCACTTCTTACCGTGAGGATGTGTGTTCTGTCTTGAGAGTCCTCTCATGTGAGGAGTCGTGTGCAGTCAACCTTGAGAGTCGTCAATCTTCACATGGAGCGTCTGGAAGGAGAGGGCGGTGCTATCTGAAGGGCCCTGGACGAAGCACTGGGTCACGGTCATCATGCCAACCCATCGGGAGTAGAGCACGCATGCTTTGCTGCTTTGTCCTTTGTCTGCTCGCTGCGCTGTAGAGGGGTTCTGAAGGGCAGGCCAGCCCTATGGGCCAGACGAGACCGAGCGTTTATAAATAAGCACCGGTGGGGTACCTTCCATTGGTTGTGATCGTCGTCCTGTTTGCGACGTTAAATAATTCCTGAGGACTTCGGGGGCCGTCCATAAAAATGCCTCCTGATCAGCCAATCGGTCGGTGTAAGGCTCGCTGCACGTGAGGATAAGGACTGTGCAGGGTTGGCCAGCTCAACAGGACTCGGGGCACAGGGGTGGGCCGTGTGCACACCTTTAGACACACACGTTGTCCGGATTGCTTAGGGACTTTGAGGACAAGGGACATTCAGGAAGAACTGAGGGGGGGGTAGATTCCAGGTGATAAGTTTGGGCAAGATTCCACTATGCAAACAGACCCAACAAATGATTCTATTTTTATTTTGATTAGTTAGATGTACAACCATTAACATATGACACACAATATAGTTTATAACTGTTTTTTGTTCATTGTGCTTTCTGTTTGTGAACTAGTCAAAGTCCAAGTAGTTTCGTTTGTAGGAA